GTGAAGTCTGAATTAGGGTTTCTGGAAACAAGAGCCTGTTGAATTCTTGTTACTTAAAACATCATGCTATTTTTGCCTTCTAGTCAGTGCTAATGATTTCCAGAAATAAAAGGAGAAAATTCTAAAGACCCAAATGAATAAATTCACTTATTTTTCTGAGCAAAACCCATGTGTCTTGAGAGTCGATCTTGTTTCCAAGCACCAGGAGCACGAGCACGAATAAGACCCAGTCGCTCCCCTTGAGAAGTGCACAGTATACTGATGAAGACGGCTGTGAAAGGAACTGCTTTGTGCTGCAACGAGTGTCACAGTCGGGTCTCAGCAACGTGCACTGTTGAACAAATAATGTTGTGGTTAATTCTACTTGTGATAGGGCTCACGAGATCAGGAGAGACTTCATGGAAGGCTATTGATTCAAAACTTAAGCAAGGGACAGGCGTTTGCTACACAGATAGAAAGCATGTGCCAAGTTATAGAGACTTGAATTTGCATGACACATGTCAGAGACATGTGAGCAGCTGGTATGGCTGGCTGGAAATAGAATCAGCCCGACTGAGGGATGGAGGGAAGTGCTGAGAACAGGAAAAGAACGTGTCCAGGACAGACTTCAAGGCTTTAACCTGGGGTATCCCCCATCTCCTATCGGAATAGCTCCTTAATATTTGGCCATGTAGAACCAAGTTGTTTGCTTGGAGACCAGTCTGGGAGCCTGCCCAGAGGCCACCAGAGGACCGTGGTGGTATAGGAGTGCAGCCTGCCTGCCTGTGGAGCGGCCCCAGCAGACGTCCTGGAGGAGGGGGCTTTTGAGCTGGGCCTTGAATACTTATCGGGCAGAGAGAAGTGGAGGACAGAGGGGAGAAATGTGGGTGGGAATGAAAACGTGTCTGAGGTGGGAAAACCCACACAATGGTGCAGAGGCACAGTGACCTTTGGGAGATAGCAAAGGCAGCCGGAGCAAGTGTGTAATGGTGGTGATCAGTGTGTGTGTGTGCATTCATGGGAGTGTGAGGGGGTGTGTGCGGATATATGTGCGTGTGTTGGAAAAGAAGGCAGAGCAGATGGTGGCCCTGGAGAGGTAGGCTCAGTTGGTTTGACACCAAAACGAGGAGTTCCGACTGTGCCCGAGAAGGTGGGGGGAAGACGGGGGTTTTGAGTGTGGGAGTCACATGATCAGATTTATACTTAAGAATCATCGCTCTGCTTCAAAACCATACATGCTGGTTATTTTGGTAGACTTAAAAAAAGAAGGATTGAGAATAAGCAGCTGAGCTGAAGAGAGTTAGAAATGTTGGGGATGTGCTGATTGTCCTCTCTGCATCTTGGGGTGTTCATGGGCTGGGACTGTCTGTGTAGTGCTGTCGTGGGGTGGGCTGTGCAACCAGCCTGGCAGGGGTGGAGGGAGGGCTTCGTGGCTGATGGAGAGGATGGCAGAACCTGCCTCCCAGACTAAATTGCTTGTGTCACCCCAACTGATGAATGTCTGTGACATTGGGAATTGCAATCCCATCAAGATACCTTTATCAGATTTCACTCTTCATTGACTCAAGAAGTGAAATATCTTCGAGTCAGAAAGCTTAGTCCCTCGCCTCAACTGGGTTGGTTATTTTTTATGGTTCGCACTGAGTTGTGGAGACTGGAATGTACACGTAATAACCAGGGAAGCTGTGCTCCGTGGGCTCACGTGTGCTTGTATATGGCTGCAAGGAACTTGGCCTCTGGACAGAGGCAGCTGGTTTGCTTACCATCTCTGCTAACATGCTAGAACGGCAAGGAGCACCTCTGGTGTAACAGGTGCGCTTGTTTTATTAACATCAGGCTAATTCAGAGTGACCTGGCATCTGTATCTTAATCGCCAACGCATCGCGGGAGGGTCAGAAGCGACTCCTCCTGGGCGTGACCCATAACCACACGACATCGGGTGTGGGAGCCACCACTCTGCTGGGGAAGCGCCCAGACAGTGGTTCAGGGGGGCTTCGTGTGTGAAGCAGGGTCCTGACGACAAAAACATAGACGCCAGCCCCAGAGGAGCCCAGTCATTTTCAGGGGAACCTCAATCTGACCAATGTCGAGGAAGGAGCTTTGCCAGATCTCTGTGGGACACTGGGCCAGTCCCCTCACAGCTGTGTCTCTGCTTCCTCATTTATAAATACAGTCATTGCGCTGGACTAGTTTGAAGGTATTTTCTTGTTCTGACAAGCTGTGATTTGGTGATTGGCTGCTGAGTAACCAGACAGGGTCAGCCCACAGGGACCCTCCCATTCAGCCAGCCGGGATATATTGAGTACCCATGATGCACCAGGCCCCCTAGGAAGCACTGGCCAGCCTCACCCCTCAGCCTTCCCTTAGGTCCAGAGACAGGGGTGACCTGTCATTAACTGGTAATTAATAGCTGGTTCCATCTTTTCCTCCAAGCTGTGGGCTCAGCGTTCACTTCTCCCTCCTCTGCCTTTGGCTAAGCTCCTTCTGGCTTCTTTCCTCTGGGGCATCGTTGCACGTGGCTATCTAAATCTGCTCCGGCAAAGCTGCCCACTCTTTGGACTTTGTAGCCCCTTCCTGGGAACTCATAACAGGAACTGTTTCAGCCATGGACACGCAGCTAGCAACTGACCCAGGAGAGAGCGGCTGCTAGACGGCAGAGTGTCTGCCTGTGTTTGTGCTGATTCATTACCCATGTCAGACAATCTACCATGCGAATAGGGACAAATGTGTGCCGTTGTGCCGAGGGAATTGTGTGCTCTAAGATTAACCCTGGGCCGGCAGCTTGCCTGGCTGCTGCGCCATGTCCCGTCAGCCACCATTTCTTTTTCAGTAGTCCTTGGAAATCTAAATTGTTTGGCAACCGGTAATAGGAAACCTCATGCCTGTGTGATTTTGAAATGCAAATAATAGTTGTTTTTACTCCAGGCAAAGGGGCCAGGACAAGGGAGGAGGTAGCTGCTATGGAAGCAGGGGGCCATTGGAGAGAAGACGCCCAATGACACACATGTGGGGACCCCAGAGAATTTTCAAGCTGGTGATGTAGGTGGGGCTGAGATGGGCTGAGGAGGAGAGGCTCAGCCCCCAGACACTCAGAAGCCACGTGATGTCATCACGGGCCGAGCCACCAGCTGTCTTCATTGACTCCGGGCAAGGTCTTCCCAGTTCGAGGCTCAGTTTCCCCCACTAGTGAAGTGAGTAGGCTGGACTAGGCTATCTCCGAGGGCCCTCGTAGGACTTTCTTTTCCTGTTCGTTGTTCAGACAGGCTTTGCCCTGTGGCCTGCCCAGCCTGGGACCCCCAGTGGTCCTAAGGATTGTGCTGTGGGTATGTGGTCATTCACCTGGAAGTCAAATTCAAAGGTAGTGCCCCTAACAGATCTTCCTCCTCATAGTCCTCCCCTCAAATCATGAGGGTGGCTTTGAGGTGGTATAAGAGCAAGTTGGTGTGTGTCCTTCCTCAGTTGCTTTCCTTGGTTAGAGGAGGGTAGGCTGCCTCAGACACCCAGCCCCACTTCCTGACGAGCTGGGTATTCATCCCGTACCTAGCAGAAAAGATTCCCTTCTTGTGACCCTGTGAGTCCTTTGGGGGAGTTAAATGCCATCCCAAACCTAGGACCTTAGAATCAAGTCCCATTTCTATGGCAATGGTAACATCATCCTCTGTACCTCACTCTGTTGAGGCAAATAATAATTATAGCAACAGCTACCATTTTTATTGCTTCCCATTTGCCCAGCATAATACCAGGTACCTTACACATCTCAGCTCATTTAATCTTCATACCATCCTCTTGAAGTAGATTCTCTTGTCCCATTTTACAGATGAGAAAACTATGGTTTACAGGATTAAAAATCCTGCCAAGAGCGTGCTGGCAGAGCTGAGATTTGAACTTGTGCTTTCTGACCCCAGAGCCTAAGTGTCACAACCATGCAGGACTGCCAATGGAAAACCCTCAAGGGCATGGTCACCTGACTGCTGGGCCGCCCACACACACTCCTCCTCCAGCGGGAGCTCAGCTGCGGCCGTGGGAGCCACTCCCAGCGGGTTCCTGGGAGAGCTGCTTCCGCCAGGAGCGAAAGGGTGGTAGTGACTGCAGGCCTTCCTTTCAGGGGTTTGTGACAAGGGGCGGGGTTCCTTCCATGGACATAAGCCATCCTAATGGCACCATTTATCATTACGACAAAGGTGGGGAGCAGGGGAAGCTGGAGCTGGGATGAAAGAACAGAGTTCTGATTATTTTAGCAGTCGGAAGTGACATCACCTCAGAGCCTCCATCAAACGGCCAATGGGAAGCTGGACTGAAGTCACTTAAAACACAGGTGGCAAACGCAAGGCCGAGTCTGGCCTCCACCTTGTCTTATCCAGCCCAGACCCTTGTTTCTGCCCGGCAGCAGTGCCAAACTCTCACCTAACAGTGAAGAAGTAGTTGCATTTGTACAACCCTAAAGTTACATTCGGCCCTTTGAAGGCAATTGCGAGGCTGATGTGGCCCCCCGTGAAAATGAGTTTGACACCCCTGACTTAAAAGGTATCCAGAGGTCATTGGCCACAGCTGTGACACAGTCGTTGGGTTGTGTTTGGAGATGGGTGTCATTTGGAGGTGCTTGCTGAGTCATCTGTGTGTCATGTAGCTCCCGGGTGGCTGGTGGCCCTGGGGGAGTCTGAGGCTTTGGAGGCCCTTTCAGGGCACCTACGATGTGCCCCACCCTGCCCTGGGGGCTGGGTGAGTGGGTGGAGCTACACTCCTCCTTCATTGGTCTTTCCCATGTTTTGTGACCATCTTTCCTGGCAGTAAGTGGTGTTTACAACGTTTGTAATGGCTGTGCTGCCTCCCCGGTCCGTCTGGTGGGCCGAACCTAGGCTTTTGGGGCAGAGCCTCCTGCCCCCATCGGGAGCTAGAACCAATGGGAGTGCTGGCTGTTGGACCAGCCCTTTCCTTTATTTGGCCTTTGTCCAGGTACTTGGAGGAGAGGCCACGCCACGGGACGGGAGCACTAGTTAACTCTTCTCTTTTCCCATCCGCAGGCAAAAGAAGGAGAACGTGGCCCACAAACACTGGGTTGGACCTTCAAATCTGGTCAAGTGCAAGCCCTGCCCTGTGGCACCATCGGCCATGGTCTGCGGGTCTGATGGCCACACCTACACATCCAAGGTCAGTCACCTTTGTCTTTTTTGTCATTAATGACACTTCATGCCTGCTGGTTCTGACAAGTCTCAGTGCCAAAACTGGCACAGCCGTGTGAATCTCCTTGTAATTCTAGGCCTTGTCCTTGGGAAGCTGCCCTTTGAGCAGACCCTCTGGCCAAAGAGACAAGGGAGATAAAGAAGTTACCTCCTGCATGCTGGTCGGTCGGTCAGGTGCTAAGGGGAGAAAGTGATTCTGAGAGTGGCATGTGAGCCCAAGTTAATCCAGGGGAGCTTCCCAGCACAGGTAGCACAGCCAGCTGTTCCAGAGATGTGAGTCGTAGGTACAGCTCGGCCGACAGGAGCAAAGACGTGAGGGAGGCGCAGGAGGCCGCCTGAACAATGATGTGCCGGCAGGAATGGGAGCTCAGTGAGCTTCAGCTGCACCTCCTGCACATCCAGAACGCTCCCAGCCTGCACCAGGCCCCCGGGGCTGCGGGGAGGTCTTTCCTTTCTCAGGACCTCCTGGGGGCTTACAGTCTAATAGGGAGGGTGAGACTGGTGACAGATCATGTTACCTGAAACCTATGGAAGGAATGGTTTCATAGAAAAGGGCTCTAGGGACCCAGTGGGTCTATTTTCTTCTTACCGGAAGGGCAGGGAAAAGTTTCAGAGGGAAGGGACATTTCATCTGGGCTCTAGCAGTAGGCTTTACGAGCAGGGAGGCAGGGCTTACTGGGGTGGGAAAAGGAGGAAGGAAGCGATCATTCATTCTTGGAACTGCAAACACTCTTCTTGGGTTAAGGCCGTCATTTGTGTGCGGGAATGCGGAGTCCCACTGGGGGAATGAAAGGGAAGGAAACCGCAGAATGACCGAGTTTGCTGCTTTGTTCCGTATTCCGCAGATGCTCACCCACGCCCCCTTGGTGTCTGTCCCGCACGGTGCTAGGCAGGAAGGCGGCGGCATGTGGGTGTCTCAGGAGTCTTTTGTGAGAAAAGGCTGTGTATGTGTGTGTGGGGGGCAGAGTGGGAGGCTCCAACTTTCCTCTCTCCTCCAGCCTCGGCCTCCCACTTCAGTCCCTCCTCCGGGTCTCCTGTGTGAGGTTCACTTGCAGAACAGAGCCTCGGGCTATGACAGTTGCTGTCGGAGGTGCCCTGGTCACTGCAGGCCACACCGCTGCCCTGTGGGTCTTGGGCTCAGGGACTCGGGCCATTCTGCTAGATCCCCTCCTGTCCCTGACCCACCACATGCACAGCTGCAGCCTCTGTCCTCTGGGGTCCCCCTACCATCCAGGCTCTTGTGTTCGGAGAGTCTACAGCCTGGCAGCACCTCCCTGCCCACTGCCCTCGGGGGCGGGGCCGGGCTCTTCCGAGGCTCTGCCCTGCTCTTCTGTGGATTTTGGGTTGAACAGATCGTATATTCTCATTTCCTGAGAGGGGAGTTTTATCCTCTCGGATTTGTACTTTTTTCTAACCAAAAGGAAATGCAGTTCACAAAGCAGGCAGCCATCAGAAGGTACATCTACTTGTCCCAGACCCCCAGACACGTATAATCTGCTTTAGAACCTCAGTCGAATAATCCCTGCTGGACTAGTTTCTTTGTTCTTTCAACAAGTATCATTCCAGCCCTTCTATGGCAGGTGCTGGGGAAACTCAGAGTGTAAATTAATAATTGGCTTTTCTTCCTGGCCAGTCAGTAGGCCTTACCTCCTAGCCCACCCTGGGCATTGCAGCTTCTCGGCCCAAGGCCGTAGCTGGTCCACCCTGGCTGAACAGCCCCGGCCAGCTCTACCCAGTGCTCCCCCTTCCTCCTTCTCTTACTCCACCTGACCCCTGATGGAATCACAGTTTGATAAAGTTTGTAATTACAGAGCTTGCTTCTGACTCCCTGAACACTTCTGGAATAGTGGCTTTGCAGGGGGCAATGACTGGATTTATGGGGGCACCGATGAATCAGTTCTGTCCCCCACTCCCACAGGCAGATACGGCACCATTGTCTTTCCCCTGAAGCCCAGCTTCTGGGTGTGTGCGCGCAGTCTGCTGGTGAGGCTTTTAACACGCACATCACAATGTAGCGGGTCTGGTGTGGGACAGAGCTTCTGCATCTCTAATGGACTCTACCATGCTGCTGACCCCTGAACTGCGACGAGTCACGAGGACTTGAGTTTTCATAGGCGCCTCCTAAACGGGCCTCCTGGTCTCCAGGCTGCCCTTTCCCCTGCCCTCTGAGTCCACTTGCACATGATGGAAGAGGAGGTGTCATTCTGTCATATAGCCCATTCATGTGTCTTCCACACTTAAAACGTGTAGGACTGTGCCCAGGCCCTTTGCTGTTACTGACAAGGCCCTCCCGGGCCTGTTGCCTTCCTACTCTGTTATTACCTAGCAGAGAAAAACCCTGTTCATTTGGGCAGCCACTGTGTAGTGAACACTTCTGGTTGCTCTATGGTGAGGGGCAGTAGAGAGCAAGACAGATGCCACTGGAGGTTGTATAGTCTGGTAGGAGACACACAAATAAACAAGTCACCAAACAAGAAACTAAGTGATTTCAGTTTTTGAAACATGTTGAAAAGGAAGTGAGCCTAATGCTGAGAGCGAGAGCAAGAGGGGCCTGCTTTATACGGGCTGGTAAGGGAAGGCCTCTCTGAGGGGTGTCCTCGAAACTGGGGGGAGGGGGGTAGAACGTTCCAGATAGAGAAAATAGCATGGGCCAGGCTCCAGGCAGGATGGTGTGTTTGAAGAGCTGTGAGGACACCCATGTGACTCTAACAGTGAGGGGAGAGGGGGCTGGGAGGATTTGAGAACAGTCTGAGAGGAGACATTTAGCCAAAGCTGGAAGGTGAGCAGATGGTTGGAGAATGCCGGCTTGGGGACACTTGTTATTCTAAGTGCCTTCTTGTCCATGTCTGCCTTGAGATCCTAGAGGCAGACGCAGTGTCAGCTACTGCCTTCACCAGGACAGGACACAGTGCATAGTGGGTGCTCAGTAAGATCATAGACAACGCTGGGCTACTGGGCACACCAGCTGAGCAGGAATGGAGAGATTCTGGTCTGTGTACCCCATTGGGGATTTGAGTGAATGGGTGGGCGAGAACTTAGTGATTGAGAAAAATAAGCCATCCCCACCATGGGCCAAGTTGCTTAGCTGAACACCCAGCCTGGGGCTCTGGCAGAGAGTCAGAGGCTCTGCAATGCTTCGCAATGATTCTCTCTTTGTGAAGATCCAGTCTGTGCTGCTCAAATTATTTCCTCCAGCTCCACAGTAAACCATCTGATCCTCAAGCCCGTGATTGGAGACGAGCCATGAAACGTCAGTGAGCGATGAGGGCTGTTCAGGCCAGGGGCACGGCGCACATCACACCCCAGCAACGACCTGCCCGCTCGCCTCTGTCTCTCTCCTTCGCAGGAAAAGCTTGAAAGGCCAGCTCCCCGTGACCCCCCAAGTAACAAGGAGCAGTGTTACCCTGTGAGGTGTGGCCTGGTGTGCCCTTGGTTGCCCAGGGAATGTCTTTGGGAAAGGCTTTCTGACCCAGGCCCCCCTGCAGTCTGGGCTGGAACACTGGCACTTGTGTCAGAGAAGCAGGCCTGTGTATGGATACAGTTCAATCGCTTGTTTCAGAGGCAGGATCGCACTTTGGAGAGTCCTTTGCAATGACTCTTGAATCCTCACCTGAGGAATGACTCCCAATACTGTGGGGCAGGGCCCTGAAAGGTCTTCCGTGCACCAAGTCACGTCCTTGGATTCCTATACCAGCCCAACAGAGCCCTCAGTTTCCCAGACCTGCTCACTTGTCTTTTCCTGGAACAAAATACAGACCTAAAGCCTTCTCGTCAGCAACCGGAGGGTTCTCCTCCCTGTCCTCCGTACGGGGAATACTGAGGCCCAAAGAGCCAAAGACAGTGGCAGGGTTTGACCCCCGTGGTCTCCGGCCTGGATATCTGTGATCACCCACTTCTATTTGAAGTTTAGAAGGGGGAGGAGGGTGGTGGACAGAAGGCGTTGCAGTAGAAAATGCTGTTGGTGTTGGTTTGGGGCATTAGGCTCCTAGTTTTCTGTCTTTCACGAACTCCTGGAAAGTTGCTTTCTCTTTTACCTAAAGAAATGAATCAAAGATGACTCAGTCGAAAGGCATCCACTGACTACACGAGGCCTCTGAAGCCCAGGACAATTCGGACCCTCCGCAGGCGCTCCGAGCAGCTGCCTTCCAAGGGGGAAGGGCTCAGTCTGGTTGGGTTCACCATTGGGTGTTTTAGTGATTGCCACTAAATACACCTGTTGCCTGGTCACTGAGCTTTAGGAGGACATTTTAATCTTGCAGGCCAAGCTACTTGCAGGCCACCACTCCATGGTCAGTTAAAAGAATGAATTAACGATCAGTGAACAAGTAATTTTCATTCTCTGTAGCTATGGCCTTTTGTGTGTGTGTGTGTGGGGGGGTGGTCAGTGAACTCAGGCAAGAAAGGACAGAAGAGACTTTGATGTATGGCAATTGGATGTTATAAGTCAAAGTCACAAAAATTAGTGTTGGCAAAAGTGTATTGCAGCCCAGTCCCATCACCAAGGAAATGACACCCCATAATAAGAATCACAGTTCTCCAGACGCAGTGCTCACCCTTCCACAGATGGTCCATAGGCGGTGGGGGCACTGTCAGGAGCGGGAAGCAGGGGGGGCTCCAGCATCAGGTCTGTCCCGGATGCCGCTGCTTGTCCTTGGGCCGCATCAAACAAGCTTCCCTTCTGCTCCTAGAACTGGGGAGGTGCATTTAGAGCCCCCTGTCTGTAGCAAGGTTCTTCTAGGGGCCCAGATCCAGGGACACCACTCAGAACTCTGTGGCTCCCCCAGGATCAGATATAAAGTGAACAAGAACGCACAGTCTTGAGATGAAGGGATATGAGATGTTACATGGCAATAAATGTTTACTGAGACTCTATAAAGTATAACCCATAAAAAATAAGGAACAGAAAACCTCCACTGGGGACAGGCAAGTGAAAGGCCAGTGCTGCTGCTGGTTTGAGAACGTGGCAGA